CGGTGTAGTGACAAACATCTGCTCAGTTTGTGCTCGTTGCCTTGACCTGGAGGTTCTTACAGCAGCGGTCCACGTGCTGATAAAGATTTATACGTGTCTAGGTGCTAGAGGTATTCTGTAAATGGAGTTTTGGCCATTCATGCAAGATGCATTCTAGAAGTAACACATCCATGAAATGAAAGACTTTTAGGCTTTTCTGCAACAACTTGTACAGGCTCATTGGACACCATCAAACTCTGTGTTTCCCTAGCAGGAGAAAAAGATCGTGTTGCATTATGTACATCCAAAAGCCTGGCACATTTGAGAGTGAATGTGCTGCCTTGCTACAGGCAGAAAAGTAAAGCCATCAGCCAAGATAGCTGAAAGGGGAAGATAAATGTTTCTGCTGAGGCTGATAGTTTTTGCACCTAGGTCCATCTGGTTGACCAAGACCAAGTTAAAGTAGTGGCCCTTGTACTGATTTCTCAGGTATCTTCGTGTCTTGAGAGCAGCTTAGTGGAAAAACTCCATTGCAAAGGTAATGTTAAGGTGTGTAACGTCCCCATGGGCTTTAGAGTACTTACTGGGTTGGTTCTGACTGCCACAAATTTGGCCAGTGTGTCTGCAGTTAGCAGATGGGTTTATATTTGATGCGTGTTGGGTTTCGTGTGTCATAAGGGAGACTGTTCTTCAGATTCACTGACTGGATTTTTATGGCTTTGGATGCTAAATTCTGTGAGTTATATTTATTTGCCATGTGTCCTAAATTCAGTGCTCGACTCCAGTGAAAACATGGTGCATTTTGAACCAGCATCAGAATCTTATTCAGACTGTTGGCAGCCAAGTGGAGCTAGGTGTGCGTGAAGGGAAGCGTTGACAGCAGGTCTTTATGGAAGAAGCCTGTTGTAGGATTACTGTGTCTGGGTGAACTAGAATGCCCAAAGTTTGTTATCATTGAGGATTTGTTCCTGGAAAGCAAATCACCTCAAAATCCATGAGACTGTACATCCATGCAGTAAGTATAAAATGATCCTGTAGGATGAGAAAATAGTAAAAAGGTAGCAATCTACAGAATCCATACTGTGCTTAGGATAGAAGTCTTTGCTGTGGCATTTGATTCCTGTGACAAGGTCCTGCTGAGGAGGAGAAGTGGGAGAGCTGAGCTGCCCATGGATGTGAAGCTGCCATGCCCAGCTGGGGCACCTGAGGGATTGGAGATGAGGATGGTGACTGGGAGAGGTAATGGGCAAAACCTGGACTGGATGATGCCAGATGTTGTAGCAGTTGTGGAAAATTTGTGGTGCAGATAAGGGACAAATGGTGGGGAGTAAGTTATTCTTTGTTGTCATTGAGGTGATGTTGTATGGATCTTTGTGGAGAATTGTCTTTGATGGAAGTAAAGTTTGTGAGGGTTGTGTTGTTAACGTGATGAATATTTATTTTAATCACGATTATTAAATATGTTTCTCATAGAAGTGAGTGGTGTGAGGTGCTGGGTTCAGATGCTGAAGTTTTGGTGGATGGAATGGCAGAGCCTAGCACTGCTCTGGGTCGGATCAGAAGCAGCTCCAACTGCTCTGGAGGGGACCTGCTGCTGACCAGAGTTGGTCTGTGAGTTGTGCTGGGGTGGGCCTCTGAGAGAGCAGGTCTAAAGAAGGGGAAAGTGCTTTGTAACAGCAGCTGGAAGAAAGGAGTGTGAGATGTGAGAGAAGCAGCCCTGCAGCCACCAAGGTGAGTGCAGGAGGTGCTCCAGGCATGCAGCAGCAGTTCCCTGCAGCCCAGGAGAGACCTGTGATGGAGCAGGCTGTCCCCTGCAGCCCATGGGGACCATCTGGAGCACGTCTCCCCATGCAGCTGCGGAAGAACCCGCGGTGCAGCAGGAGGGCCGTGGGAGCTGCTGCCCTTGGAACTGTGCTGGAGAAGTGCCTGAGGGGTGGCCCTATGGTTTGGAGCAGTGTTGGAGCTGTGCTTGGAGAGCTGCAGCCTCTGCATCCCACACAGGATCAGCTGGGGAAGGACAGCATGCGTGGGGGAGGCCTGCATGGGGCAGGGGAAGGGAGTGACCACACAGGAGCAGCAGAGATGGAGCATTATGAGCTGCCCACAGCCCCATTCTCCCTTGCCGCTTGGGGGGAGAAGGCAGGAGAGAGTGAGTGGAGGAAGGTGTTGTTGTTTGCTTCAGTCTGTTAGCAGGAGGCAGTGCATTAAGTTCATCTCCTTGTACCGAGTCTGTTTTGCCCATGACAGCAATTGGTGAGGGATCTCCCTGTCCTTAGATCAACCAGTGAGCCTTGTTCATTGTATTTTCTCTCCCTCTTCTTTTGAAGACAAGGAGTAAGAGCAGCGTAGTGTTGATGAGCTGCTTTGTTAAATTACCACAGTTACCTTGTTTTAGCACAAAAAGGCACAGATGCATCACTGTCAAGATTTTCAGTATTATGAAGCATGCATAGCATACATAGCTACATCCTTTTGTTTCCAGGAACTTGTGGTTCACATCCTGTCATCACTGTAGAATATTTTAGTCCTTCCTTTGTACTATTGAATGTTCTTTCTCATACAGAAAGAACAGGCTTCTTAATTCTTCAGGCATGATTGTTCTTCTTTTCTTCCACCATCTTCATCACTTGTTCTCATCTTTTTTTCCCCTCCTGTGTTGAGCCTTTCAGCTGCATGGTTCTAATCTTAGATGTGTTCTGCACCTTCAGTTCCTGTTATTCATTACTTGCTTAAATTTCCTTCTTTTTCCTCCTCGGTTTGGCAAAAAGGACCAAACAGCAGGTCCTTACCACTGTGGTCCAAAAGCCATTCCTTTAGACCAGTTACTTGTTTCAGCATCTTTGGTCTCCTTTTCTAATATCTAAGCTATTTCATAGCTGCTGAGTTTTCAGATATTCTCCTCCTAAACCTTCCTTTGTCTGCCACAGCCCTTCCTGTTGTTCTTTGGAGGAGTGATCTCTGATTTTCGCAGGTTTGTTGTGTTTTCCTGCAGGTTATTTACTGCCCTGCCCATTTGACCTTTTACTTGCTATCTCAGCAAGGCACCATACAGAAAGGAGAGAGAGGAAAGTGAATGTGGGGTAGATTGAGGCCAGTTCTTCACAGGTAGTTCTTCTCGTTCATTATCGCTTGCTGATAGGACTAAAGTGACCAGGACTAAAAATGATAATTCCAGCTCTTGCTCTTGTATTGGCTTTGTTTTAGTCACTTGGGCCACTTCCAAATTCTGCTTGCTACTTTCTCTCTGTACCTGAAAACACTGTAGGAAAACCTCAGTCAGATCCTCTGTTAGTTCCAGTACCCCTATACCTCTGGCTTCCTGGCAGCAGCCCTTCTCTAACTCTGAAGGAAAGGCAGATAACATCTCATATCCATTTCTTAAAGGGAAAACGGGACACTTTTCTCCATCAGAAAGTTTGTTTCATGAGTTGTAATTCCTAACCTGCAGGACAGAGTATGAGGAACATTGGCATGTATTGACTTTTGGAAGTGATACTCCTGGATTTGTGGCTGCGTTGATTGGCCCTTTAGTGCAAGCAGGAGCTTTGGACTCATGCCTCTTTGTTTTAACCTTTCTCTTCTTGAATTTTGAAAGAAAAGAAAGGAATTAAACACCGAAGAAAAACTTGAAATTTCTGAAAGAAATGTTCAGTGGATGATGCAAAGAACTGTCTCCTGCTTGGTTCTCCTTCAGGGGTTTTCCCTTCCACTTGAGATCCTGATCCTTGCTCTGACCTCTGAGGGTTGTGTTATGGAAGTGCTTGTATTGCTGTGCCTTCCAAGCAGGTTATGGCAGCTCCTGTGTCACTAGCAAAGGGCAGTGCTGAACAGCAAACACTGGACTGCCTTCTTTACCTCTGAAGCAACCTGGAGAATTCCTAGCTTTAGCAATTAAAATGAATTGCCCCATGTGAAGTGCTATGGGAAAATCCTTCTCCTTAGGCATCCCATATTTTACCTCCTCTCCTTGCTTCTTACAGGAAACTCAGTAGTTTCAAAGGTATCTTTTCACCTTCTGATGAGCATTGCAGATCGTTTCCCCTCTCATAAGTTACCTTGCAGTTGTTACCTTGGACTTCTGTTTCTCTTCCATTGAGCTTTTCTCCAAAAGCCTCTGGAATTCTCCATCTTTGCGTTGCCTCAGTCCCCACTCACCACACATAGCATGCATGTCCTCAGAGGATGCACGTGTACCTCACAGACAAAAAAAACAAACCTGTAAATTATCTCTGCGTCCTTCTTAATGATGTTTTTAATGCTCGTTTGTTATGTCTAATAAAAAAATCAAAACATTAATCACATTTTGGTACTTTTCCAGTCTGTTTTCCTTGCCCTTCTGCTATTAGTCACTTGTGGCATCAGTTCATTAATAGCTCTGTGGACTCACTGACTGACTAAACTTCTTAGGAGTCTATGATGTAACTTTACGTTTGGGCTGCTTTGATTAAATTGGGATGTCTTTTAAGCTCTGTATCCCTGTGCCAATGGTTTTCATGGCTTCAGCAAATGTCTTAAGAGCTACCTATTACTACAGGAGCCATTTTACAGCGTTGGTGGATTGTTTTTTCATTTCCTTGATTAGCTCTCAGCAGGCTGATGATTCCAGACTAGGATTAAGTCCAGCTATGCAGTTCTGTTGCTCTAGATATTTTTTCTAGGTTTGGAGGCAGAATTGAAGTAGAAAAGTAAAACGTACAGCCTTTCCCCAGTGTTTTGCTTACTCTTACGCTAATACAACAAATGAAATTGTTTGTATCCATCTAGGGGTATATTGTGTAGAATGCCAATGTGCCTGAAATATTGGGGTTTAAAATAAATAAATAAATAAATGAAGGCACAGGAAAAATATTTAAAGCCTTGCCATGGAAATGCATGGAAAAATGGCAGTAGGGGCAGGCCTGCTGTGTTTCTGAGCTTAGGCTGCTATTCTCAGGTGCCAGGACTAAATAAGATGCAGCTGAGGATTGCAATTTCTTGAAAGCAGTGTTACCGCTGTTTAAAACTGACTTTAATCCTTGCAGACCAGTAATGGAGGAGGGAGTTTAAGTGATTATTCCTCCTCTGTCCCATCAACTCCAAGCACCAGCCAGAAGGAGCTACGGATTGATGTTCCTCCCACTGCCAACACACCAACTCCTGTCCGTAAACAGTCCAAGCGCCGATCCAACCTCTTCACGGTGAGTGAGCCAAGGAGGAGACTGTTGCTGTGTTTCTACTCGTGCTCTGTGACCGTGGCCTGAGCTTCAACCCGCTTGACTTGAGCTGGTCTAATCCAGACAGGAGTGGTGAGATGGATCTTGAAAACAAAAGCACTTTAGAATGACAACGGGGCTGTTCTCTTTGAGGATGTAAAGCAGTGAAGTCACCACGCTGGGAAATCCAGCGGATGAATTCTGGAGCCTTAGTGTGACTTCGATTATAAGATCTGCCCAGGTTCCCTAGGTTCCCACCTTCAGTGACCGAAGACAAAGCTGAGCCTCTGCTCCTAAACCCTGTCCTTGTTCTGAATAATTCTGCTGGCTCGGGGCTTCCTTGTGAGGTATCCAGTGTTTGTAGAGAGCTGTCAGCCATGGGAATTCTGTGGGGTACTGGAAAGTAGCTGCCCCACGAGCCTTTGGTTACTGCTTTCTCAGAGTTAAAAGGTATGATGGAGAAGAAAATGACTTCTTATTTTCTTCCTTCCTAGAATATCTGGGTTTTGCTTCATTGAGAGGCAAAAAAAAAAAAAAAGACAAACCAAAAAAAAAACCAAAAAACAACCAAAACACTTCAGCTGGTCCATAGTGATTGAACCTTTGCTATGCACAAGGGCTTTGGGAAACAAGAATGAAGCTTTGAGTGATGGTTCCCTTATTTTAGCAGTCTCGCTGAAAGCTTTGGGATTGTGTGTAATTGTGGCTTTATAATCAGTTTTTTGACACTTCTAACCGTGCTTTCTAACAAACACTCTTGTGCAAGCTCTTTGGTGACTGCAGCTATGCAGGAGTTGCATTTGGCAAGCCACGTTCTCCCTGTTCTCATCAAAAGTTTGCATTTTGTATTCCAAAGCTGATGTCCTGCTCACTTCCCAGCGCTGGTCGGCTGCTCGCTCCTATCCAGGGAAGCACTATGAGAAATGCTGGAAACTTCTAAACAAGGTCTGATCCCTCAGCAAGTCAAAAGTTTTGTCCTGGTTTTGGAGTGCTGAGTGGCAGCACAGTCTCACAGGTCATATTTGATGTGCCCATCTTGCCGGTGATATTTTGATTTAGATCTTCATCCTCCTAGAAAGGAATGCAAATGATGAATTTTCGTTGAGGTAGTTTGAAAAATGCAAGTTGAGTGTCTGATGAGAACTTGCCATGTTTTGACACCGAGGTTTTATAGCAAGCGCGTGTGCATCTCCCTGCTGCTCACAGGGCTCGTGCTGAGGAGCACTCGTGAGTTATTAACTCCACTAGATGTCAGTGTCATCCTGGAAACCGAGAGCGCAGCCATAAATCTGGGAGCCGAGCCGAGACCACCAGAGCTCGGCGGGAGCGTGTGCCGACCATTTCCTGCCTCGAGTGTGCATCAGGCGCTGAGAGGGCTGTTCAGATGCTGTTGACATTTGGAAAACTGTGGGTGATTTATATTGGAGTAGGTGTAAATTTGAGAAAGCGAATGAAGAGAAACATACGCATCTGCAGTCGAGGAAGAGGTCTGAGAGGAATATGAAATCAGCTGCGTGTTACCAACAGATTGAACAGACAGGTTTGCAGTAACTAACAGCACAGGGAGAACCGTCGCACAAGAGGATGTTAATAGTTGTCTTAATGCCAGATAACCTGGGGAAGAACCAAGTGCTGTGGGGAAAAAAAAATAATGTCTTTTCAGAATTAGTTTTGTCTTTTGTGTTGTGACCATATTGAACACAGTGTAATCCCTGTCCTGGAGATTGCTGACCCTGCTCGTAACGCTGCTCTCATGCCATGTCAGCCAAGCTGTAATCTGGAATTACCAGACTGAACAAATAGGTGAGATGTCTATAAAGAAATAGATGGCCTGTCTGCTAAGAGCAAAACGTGAAGCTGTGTCAGTTAGCTGTGTTTGGTTTGCTGTGCTTCTTTCCTGGACTGTTACTTGCATACGATTAGTACCACTTGCATTTGTCTAATTGCAAACTGACCCTTGTTACATCCCGTAGGTAATACGTTTAGTTTCTTCCATTAAGTTCTTGTAGCACTGGAAGAAAATTGGGTTAAGCAGAAAGAAGATGTGATTTTTTTTTTAAAAAACCTCTTACAGCTTTTGATTTGGAATAGCACCGAGCATTTTAACCATGTTTACCATTTTAAACATGGGCTTGCTGAAGCACATCATGGTGGTATCTGATCGTTACAACTTGGGTGGATATTAATGTTTTCTGCAATAGGAGGCTATCTACTTCGGCTTCAAAATAAAGCAGAAGGGTAAATGTTTTTGTTTTTGCACAGTACAACTAGGGGTGATTAAACTATTGTGCAGCACAGGTGAGGATTTACACTTCAGCAAAGCACTGGTTGCTACTTCTTGTTGGATTTCTTGTGGGCTGAATGAGTTTCAGGTACAGTGAGGCAGCTCCGTTCACATGTCAGTATTACCTGTCTTACGTGATTGCAGATTTGCAGTCATGACCTTTTAAAAAGTTAAGTAAACCTCTAGTTCAGTGTATTAGAGACCAGTACTGGTACTTCTTGGGCTGTGGATGCAGGATTCTGGTTGTGCCTGAGCTCAGCTGCAGTTTTTTCCTGGGTTGAAAGCAATCTCATTTCTAGGCTCTGATTTGGGAAAGGTTCAGTGTTGACGTAAGGCTGCGTATGACTTCTGGTGCAAAGGGAAAATAGGTCAAATGGCATTCAGGCAGGTTTTGTTTTTGTTTTGTTTTTTGACTTTTGGGACCTCCTCTGGTTTGCTGTAAAGTTTTAAATAGGATTGCTGGAAGCGTTAACGTGACGTCAGAGAAAATCCTAGCAAATGTTGATCCAGTGTGGTTTAGTGTCTGTTTTTTAATTTATGTGATCTAAAATGGAATGGATGCATTATAAATACAAAAGCATGGAAGTCTAGGGTACCTCTCTATTTGACTACATGATATAAACAGTGGAGCCTGATAGAATTCTCCCTTTGAAAACTGCGTGTACTCTTATTACCAGCAGCCAGAAGGGATTTGACTAACATCCCTTCCTAGATTTCTATGCTTGAAGCATTTGACAACGTTTTGCTTTGTAGCATTTCCCTGCTATGTGCAGCGTTCGTTTCTGCTGCAGTCACTTTTCTGCAAGAGAAGATGTGATGATTTAAAAATAAACAAATGAGTGCATAGTATTTAGATTGCTTTTCAGAGACGGGATCCTTTCTTTTAAAACAAGACAAAAAGAAACATTCAAGTTGACAACTTCCCTCCCAAGGATTTGGCTACCTTCATTGAGTTCCTTTAAAATGTCACTTAGGGCCGCTTTGCGCCATTGAAGTATTGTTTTGTGTTTTATTATTGGGAAGTGGCACTTTCAGATTCAGAAATCTGTCTTGAAGGAAGAGGAACAATAGTGATCTTGAACATTGGATTTCATCCCTCCCACTTGTTTTGCTTTCTTTCATTTATTCTTTGTTTAATTCCCTGCCATGTCATTCCATTGCCCCTAACCATAGTAACTAGTGATAGGAGCCTGCTCCCGGCAGAGCCGGGAAAAGCACAGCCTCCCCGCTGGGTAAATGTGCTGCTTAGGATGCTGTTACTTGAAGTCTTCCTCCGTGGGCTTTTTCCCTCCCCTTGCCTCCTGCCCCTCGTCCCCTAAAGCAACGCTTGGGGCATTTTCTTCCTTCCATCCCTCCGCCTGCTGAATGGGGGAATATGGAAAATGGGTATTAAGTCCCGATGCCACTGCCTTTCAGTCATGCCTTTATGCCAGAAATCAAACTCGGTGTCTTGTACTGCTCTGGTTCTCATTGGCTTTCCGTTGTGGCACTGGACACCGCAAATGCACTCGTTTCATACATCATCTGTGATTTGAAAAGCGCATGAAAATGTTTTCCCATTTCCAATATTGTGTGAGTAATGTTCCTATTGAAAAGTAATGGAGTGAAGTTGTCACTTGTCAGATCAGTTATTAAAGAGGATGACTTTCAGCTCTTCCTTTTTTTTTCTTTCTTTTTTAAAATAAAATAAATCTGTCAAAATGAATATACTTGTGTGTTCTTTCACAGTAATCGACCAGGATCTGAATGACTTCTTAAAACTCCTGTAGTCATGAAGGGAGCTCTGTGAGCTCACTCCATAGGGCAGTTCTCCTCAGAGAAAGCCAGGTCAAGTTTTAAACGTTGATTTAATTTTTCTCTTGTTGATGTTTCTTCTCTCTGTTCACAAGAGTGTTTTTCAACCTCAGCAGGTACCTATTCTTGAAATTCCAACTTTCTCAGCGTGGAAAAGTACGGGAAGAAGAACTGTAAATTGGCATGATCAAAGAGCAAAGTTAAATGAATGCGATCAGAGGCAGTGTCATGGTTGATGATCTTTCTAAAAACCTATAGATATTAGTTATATTACCCATAGAGGTATATATTCATGTATGTATGTCAGATTTTCTCAACAAGAAGCTGCAGCCTTCTTCAAGTAGCGCTATAAACTTCAGCAGTGTGTTCTGCTGGCTGTTCAGGCAGCGAGGCTGGAACTCTTTGAAACCCAAATCCCATTTCAAACAAGTGGAGGGCTGCAAATTGGAAATGGTAATTAGGTATTCAAATTCATTCAAATGTAGGGACTGTCGTGTACTTTTGTAGGTTTTCCCCCTCTTGCTTTCAGTATGTTTATATGTCAAAATACTACTTTATAAAAAATAATAATAATAATAATAAATAACACCAACTTTGTTTTTGCTCTGCAGTCTCGGAAAGGGAGCGACCCAGACAAAGAGAAGAAGGTCCTGGAGAGCAGAACGGACAGCATCGGGAGCGGCCGTGCGATCCCAATTAAGCAGGTATGCAACCAGCTTTCTGCTTGCCGTGCTCGGAGATGCACCTCGGCTCTGCAGCGCCGCGAGGCCGGCCCGCGCTCCAAGCCTTGTTTGATGTGCTCCAGTGATGAATGTGGAAGTCACTCACTTGACATCAATTAGGAGAGGTTCCTATGTGTATTAAAATAGGATCATTAGAATAAGAAGAGGGAAAATGTGACAACAGGCCTAATGAAGTGCAGTCTGCCGGCCTGCATATGGAGCGCGTTTCTCGGCTGCGCTGGCTTCAAAGGCTGCCTTTGTAGAGCCGGCTTTGATTGGGCTGTGCACTGCCCATTTGACGGGGGAAAATCAGCGTGCTGCACAAGAGCCCCTTGTGATGGCAGGAATAGCCTGATGTGGCCCTAATTTGCTATCGCAGACGGACATCTGAACACAGTTTCAGGCTGGTTTGTAACAACAAGGCAATTAGTTGTGATAATCATAGCCGGTGTGTCAGCTGTGCACTCTTGTTTGTAATTTGCTAATGAAGGAATTGTAACTTTGATTAGGTTCAGTTTCATTTAGACCTTATTATATAAGAGAACATTTACAGCTGTAATGTGTGGCCTTAATTAAACTTCCTCATTACACAACAGGACTTGAATTCACGGATTTGTTTTGGTCTGTTTTACTAGCCTAGATGCACTTTCATTAGCCCAGAAACTGAATGCTGAATTGTAGCTCTGAACGCACTTTGAAAGGCAAAAGCAATACTGGAATGTAATGCAAAGTGTTTGGGTAAATGAGATCATTTACTTTTCCAAATTAAATTACGCTGAATTCATGCAGTTAAGAACACTGCGCTAAGCATTTGCATGGGGTGCTTTACAAATGGTTTCTGCAGTAGTGTTTGCAAGTATTTGCTTTCATGCGAGCTACCATGCTGCAGGCAGCACCAGTGCCAAGTGAAGCAGCTTATTTTCTTCCCATGCAGTTCTTTTCCAGTTTCTTTTGGTTGCTTTGCTGCTTTTCAGATTCTCCCTTCCCTCTTCCCATGTGCTTCCAAACCTTGCCTGGCTCCCGGCTCAGCTTGTGGAGGAGTCTGCCATCTCCTGTTTGGTGCTGCTGTTGTGGAGGTTCTTTGTGTATTGTTTTATGCTGGGGTGAGGAAGAAGGGAGATGGCTTTGTGCTCACGCTTGTAGTGATTTCCTTTCTCAAAGCAGTTAGACTTGTTGGGGCCATCAGGCCGCAGAAGCCTAGTCGTGTCTGTGAATCTTTAGGAGACAAATTTTAATCAAACACAGCAGTGTGACACCAGATAAGCTCCGTGTTTGGCTCAGCGTTCAGAGGATGAGATTGCAGGCACCTGAAACAAGCTACGTTTTTTTTCTCCAGCTTTTGTGTGCTATGAGATAGGTTAAACCGACTGGATTCTTTCAGGTAATGCTAATTAAACAAAACAGACTGCGAGTGCAGCTGAGAATAAAAAATTGCATTGGGAAACATGCTTCTCCCAGTGTTTATTTGATGAGTGCATACTCTTCTAAATGGCACTGCATGAAATTAATTCGTGTAAAAATACATGTTTAGGACAGGTGAGATAAGATTTTAAGTGGGATCACGCTGCAGCACAATTAAGGCATCCTCTACAATCACTTGGAATTTCTGTATTGAAAATTTCATCCTCCCACCCCTGCTTTATTTGTGAAGTAAAAGAAGATGGAGCAGGGGGAAAAACAAAACTTTTTTTTTTTATTAGAAACATAGAACTTCCAGAGGAAATGTAAATGTGTTTGTGTACTGACGGAGTTTAATGGCAGTTGAAATACACGCATTAGTTTGAAGGGGCTTTTGATTACAAATTGTACTGTTCTGAGTTAGTGTAAATCTTTCACCATCAGACAAGGCTCTGAAATGAGGCACTGGGGAAGCTTTCTCCTGTCCACTGTTCAGATAGCTCTTACTTAGAGGTGGTGCTAAGTTACATTGCTGATCTGACTGTTACTGGTGCGTTCTACAGGTGTGAGACACTTGGAGCTCTCTCTGAGGAAGTAGAAATTCCTGCTAGAAAAGATGATCTCTGTTGCATTTAATGCATTAACTGTGAATAAGACAGAGGGATGTGAAAAGGAACATTCAGACCTAAAAACTTCAGTAATATGTCATGCTACTGTGCTGCTTTCAATGAGAAACCCCTTCCATCAGGATGTTTCGGTGACAAACGGTCAGTGAATAGAAAGAGAAATCTCCTTTCAGGAAGCTGAATGCAGATTGTAGTATTCACAGAGTTGCTGTGGAAAAGCTTTCTTATTATATTCTTAAAAGAGTCTTTTTAATCTTTGTCCCCGTGTTTTCCAGTCTTTCCTCCCATTAGCCCAAAAGTCACATTGCTGCACCATCCCAGCCTGCAATTACCAGTCACCTCCAGTTACATTAAATGTCCCACGACTTCTTGAAGCTGCTCTTGAGCAAGGTGCCTTTGCCAGCTTCGTGCACATACCCTCATCTTCCAAGGGAGTCAATGACCAGACCTTTTTAATCCCACTGTCAGTACTTTGTTTTTCCCTTTGCAGGTGCTTTGGGTTTGTGCATGGCTGTAATACTTAAGAGCTGTGGCGATGCGCCTCTGGTTGTAGGGAGTAAATCTGAGCTTGCACTTGCTGCTTGGTGCCTCTCTTTTGTTGATTGAGCTTGTTAGCACATTTAAATAATTATTTTTTAAAAAGCCATGGGAAGGTTCGGGTTGAAATTCAGAGAGCGTTCCGTGTTCCTGGTACTTGAAAAAAGGGTTATTCAAGAACAGCTAAGAGAGAAGTCTTAACGTTGAGATGGTGGACTCAGAGGCTTAGTTATGTGATAGATTTTGTGCTGCCTCACTGTAGGTTCTTCTTATCTACCCAGGGTGTCCCAGAAATCAGAAACAATGTCTCCCAACTTGAAGGAAAGTTAATTGGAGATTGGAGATGTTCTCTTTTCAAAAAGAAAGACAGAAAGAAAACTCATCTGAGCTCAAGGGGTATGCAGAAGTGGAGGGGAAGAACTGGTATTGGGCAGGTGTGTTTCTGTGCCTCTTCCAGTCCGAAGAAGCAGAGCTGAACCTGCTCCTTCTTTCCTCTTATGGACCCCTGAGTTCCTGAGGGCCTGGGGGAAGTAGGCACAGTTATAAAAGGAGTTTGCTTCCTTGCAAGGGAACACCTCGCTCCTTCCTGACTTTAATTTGAAGCAATGGAGTTGAAAGGAGCTGATTTTCTTATTTCTTCTTCTTTTTTTTTTATTTCTGAGTGCTATAACTTCCCTATGCTGCTAAACATGGTTTTATTCAGCTAAGCCATTTAAAACTGTTTTTGAAGAACCCTACAGTTTTTCAGCAGAAGCCCAAAATGTAAGCAACAAAAAGTTGGCGTGTTGTCAAAATGTGAGTGGTAGCTTTTTGCAAAGCCACTCTAAGGTGAATTACATTTAGGAAGTTCAGTTTAAGGGAGAAATAAAAGAAAACTGCTCAAAAGTGAGAGGCTGGGTTTTGCTTACGTGGCAGCATCAACGTGCCATCCAGCCCCTGCTCCCAGCTTCCTCAGAGGACTTGGGCTGTGCCATAACTTTCCAACAAGAACGCTGAGATTGTGTTTAACACCTTTTGTGTTAGGGAGAAGGTTAGGCTGAATGGTTTCCTCTATATGAAATGTCCTCTGCTCAAAACCACGTAGGCTGAAAATGAAGGCTGGTATCTTGATAGCCTGAGTTGAATGCTCTGAAGTGTGTGTTAGGCTCTGTGTCAGAGTGACATACTTTCCAGCATGTTGGGCTTTTTGCAGCGTTTTGGGAAGATTACTTTGTTTTCTGCAGTCTTGCAGTAGAGCATATTCAAATAATAATAATAATAAAAAAAAAAATGACAACAAGAGAAATAAAAGCAAGAAGCTCAGCTCAGCGGTGAGTGGGCTTGTCATGTATTAATTTTTCATTGCTGTGGAGAATTGTACATACATAATCACTTGATTGCAGTGGGAGTTAGCGAGCTCCTATGGTGTCATTTGCATAAATCTTGTTAAGTCAATGGCAGTTAATGAAGTACAAATGAGCCTGGAGAAGGTGACATGCAAATCGTGGGTGGCAGATGGGAGGTCTGTTTTTGGGATGGCAGCTGTGTGCTTTTTCTTTTTTTTTTTTTTCCTCCCTCCTCTCCCCCCTCCCTCCCAGACTGGAGCGTAAATAAATACACAGGAGCTTGCCTCGACTTTCTGCTTCCACATTCTCATCTTTGGCATTTGCACTTATCACAGGTGCCCACATTATTGTATAGCTGAACTATGTCACCTCGCCTGCTCTTTTACCAAAAGCCGTCCCACCGAAGGGGTTTGCATTTTGACGGGTGACCCAAACCTTGCTCACAGTGAGCAGTGCTGTGCTTCTTGTGCCCCCGGATTCCAGCGCAGCTCCCGGGTGCATCGTTTAGGGACAGCAAACATGAAACCCTGGCTTGAGCAGAAATGTTCTCATGTTTCATATTAGCTGATGGCATAGCGAAAAATTTGCCATCCATGACTTGCAAAGGTGAACTTCAGAATCCATTCGCTTCTCTGTTTGCAAATGGCTGTGTTAATGGAGAAAGCTGAATATCTTATTCAGTCTTTACTTTTAGGTGATATTTCAGATGACCTTCTTTGCCCACTAGCGTGGCACATTTAAATACATTAAAATAATCCTTGAATGAAATCAAGCATTTTGTCTTTTTTACTCCGAAATAAAAATGGTAAACATTTTTAGGGCTGAGATATTGGTGGGGCTCTGCCAGCAAACTGGGTGGGAGTTTTGCTTTTAGGAAGAAGAGCTTTTGATGCCTGAGTGGCACTTTTGTCCTTAAGATGAGCACGGAGAAAAACACAACTTCCTATTTTATAAAAGGTCACGGTAAACTTGGGGAAAATAATGTTAAAATGCTTTCAACAAATGTCAGAGTTTGTATGAAAAATGTCACCGGTCCCATAACGTCTGCAGTATTTGAGGTGTTGTGTTTTGCAATCCTTTATCAGCCATTCTTTCA